TTAGTATCAACAAGTTTCCCTGGTGGTAATGAACTGCAATTTACTAAAGCCATTTTTTTCAGCAAATCTTCAGCTTTTTCTTGTTGACCACTTGCAACATAAAATCGCGGTGATTCAGTGATATACTAAAATATAGAATCAGATATTATGTCATTGACCTATATACTGAATACTTACATACATAAAAATAAAAATAACGAATAAAGGTAATGATGTGAGAACTGTTAATAAACGCCATCCATATGTTGGCATAATAAACATACCCAAAACATATTCAAAAATACCACCGAATGACCAAAATAATTGAAGCCCAATAACTAGCATGGCACGGGATGATGATGGTGAATATTCTAACATTAAGTTATTACTAAAAATTGTTAGAGAGAGAAACATGACTTACAAAGAATTTATATATATATTCAAATAAATAATTAAACTTAATTTTGTTATATGAATTATGTTTGACAAGTAGTTCAATGATTTATTGTTGGTGAAAGCTATATACTGTGAAACAATTTAATTTTTAGTATGTGACAGATCTATGTCAGTTCCGAGAGTGAGGATTAATGCACTAGTTTAAGAGAGTTGTAGCTGGAATTGCTGAGCAGTTTATATGAGTTGAAGCTGATCATTAGTTCGTCAGTGTAGTTTATCACACTTCACGAGCTTGGACTGTCACATTCCTATTTAGAATACGCTATTATTTTACCTAGTCTAAAGCAATAAGATACGAGAGACAGTCATTATACAAAAGTTATAATAGGTTTTCCATTTCTAAACCACTAAGATAGCTACTAATAGCAAAAAGAGATGACAACAAATAGTTCGATCTCCTCATTTTTTAATCGTACAGATCTGTCTATCTTTTTCTTTATTGTCACAAATCTATTCTTTCAAAACTCAAATCTTTAGTATGAGACGTAAGTATACAGCATATGTTGCTTATTTTTGGAACAAAAAGAAATGTCTTATTCTATTTTATCTGTATCAGATAAAGATCCAACTTAATTACTTTTTCACCTCTTCACTATTATTGATCCACACAAAATATAGTATTTCGAAACTGATTGATATAATCAAGTAAATCTATTTTCTATCCTTTTACTCACTTTTGATTAAGACCCCCCATGCCAAGTCCGACAAAGAATGCGGTTAATAGTACATAGTTATAACTTGGGGAAAATGCTGTAAGCATTCCAGATAAAGAAACTATTATAGCACTTGACACTATTACTCTACGTCGTCCATATTTATCCGCTATGGTACCAAGTATAAATCCTCCACACAGCGTTCCACTAAAAACACACTAAAAATAAAAATATACTAAATCGTCAATAGGTTCTAAAATTAAAAGTTTCTTTTACTGTAGTTAATGCAGCTATACGAATATCTGTTATATAAGGCCAATAACACTGTAACGCTGGTCCTAAAATTGTTAAAAGCAACACTTCTGCTGCATCTGCCATGGTACCAAAGCCCAGAATTGAAAACAAACGCCATTGAAATTTTCCTAAGCCAATATGATTCATACATTCTTCAAGAGTGTACGTTGCACTCGTATCCATTTTTTAAAGATCTATATTAATGAGAAACAAAAACATCAGTAAACAAAATAAAATACAATAAAAACTATCACATACATTCACAACAAAAGTATAAAAGAAAGCGAACGAAAATGTTTATGTAAAGAAAAATATAATAATATTTTAACCAGCTGTCACCATAAACAAACAGATAAAAATTGTCATGTAGTATACTAATTGATATTTTCTTGATAAAATATTAGCACTATTACTAAAATAAATCAATCTTCACAATCATAATGACTAGTTTTCGAAAACGTGATAAGGAGAGAGGGTAAGCAACTTATTTTCGCAAGGTACTTTACACAACATACATGTGATTGTACAGGAACGAAGTAAAAAAAATATTACTATATGATCGTATTGTCACTGTTCAACCAAGCGAAACCAACTAATACTCTTTCTTTTCGTAGCACGATGTCTTCATTATGAAATAAATATTTACATCAACAATGTAGTTTTTTGCTGTGATAGAGCTAGTTTATGAAGTAATTTCTACAAGAAGAAAAATTTATTCCAGCACGATTCATCTGTCAATGTATTGAATATAATATATAACGCGAGTACTTGACATTGATAGAATTTAAATAAATAATATTTCAAGTAGACATGAAGTTCATGCAAATATGTAACTCTGAATTATATGAAGATTTTTATTACTAAAATATGTGGTCTTTAGAAAATCTCTTGTAATTAAAATTTATAAGTTAATAGATCATACGAGGATAACAGCGCCATCTATACATATTATATCATATTTATTTTCTTATTGAATTAAAAACTATAATCTATTGAAAGAATAATTAACTTTGAATTTGTAAAAAAACATTTTACAAAATAATTTTTAATTGGTAAGAAACAAGCAATAATTATCAAGTAAAAAGAAAAAACATTATACCTCACATACTCAACAAGTATTTTGTGGTTTCTTTTTTCTCTGAATATTTCCAGTCGATCGATTTTGATACATTTTTTTAAACAATCCAATCACACCCTTATCTACCTTTAATTATAAAATTATCTTTTAAAATTAATCATTTTTTTTTGTTCCTTTAGATGATATGACAAACAATAATACAATTCGTGAACTTAAACTTCATAGTCCAGCTGGTGTTGAACCAGCTGTGTTTACTTGGCCAAATATTGAACGACAAGTAAATTATTACGAGATAATTTAATTTATTCTTATTGACTTATTTTTAGAAAACAAAACAAGATGCTATATTTATTGCTGGCGATGAAATTGTTCGAACAATTCGTTTAGTTTTCGAAGGTTTGTCTCAATTTTTTCTGTTTTAATTCAATGAAAATATTCTTTTTGTATAGATTATCCAGAATTATATCAACAAAATGTCAATCTTGATCAATGTGATATTCATTCATATAATAAAATGAAAGAATTATGTGATAAATTTAATAAAATTATTGATACACATGTTAAATTAAATCGTGGTACAGAAACTTTTTCTGCTCGACTTGAACAACGTGCTACAGCTAAATTATTTCGTCATATTCTTGCTCAAGTCTATAGCCGAGCTGTAACTAATCCAGATAAATTACGTGATTATGAACCATTTTCTCCATCAGTAAATATTTTGTTTATTCAATTAAGAAAAAAACAAAAAAAGTTTGTTTTTCTTTTTCTTTTTCTTTATCCAGGTCTATGGCGAGACATCACCTGATTTAATCGATTCAATACTTAAATTAATTAATTTAACTGAAGATCAAACATTTATTGATCTTGGTTCAGGTGTTGGAAATGTTGTTTTACATGTTGCTGCTTTATCTAATTGTAAACATGTCTATGGTATTGAACATGAAGAAACTCCAGCAACATATGCATGTGCTATGGGAGATGAATTTCGTTTTTGGATGCGTTGGTATGGAAAACATCATTCAGAATTTCAATTAGAACAAGGAGATTTTTTATCACATCCAAAAATGGATGAAAGAATCAAAGAAGCTGATGTGATTTTTGCTAATAATTATGTATTTGGTTCAACAGTTAATCATGAATTAAAAGTTAAATTTATGAATATGAAAGGTAAATATTGAATTGTACATATATTTTTATTTAACTTAAGTATTTCTTAGATGGAGCAAAGATCATTTCATCAAGAGAATTTTGTTCCGAAAGCTTTCGTCTTAATGATAGAACAAAAAATGATTTAGGTGCTGTTATGCATGTGACGTAAGTGAAATTAATATAATTTATTATAGAAGTTATGATAATATATATATTTATAGAAAACCTGAAGAATGTTTTGGTAAAGTCAGTTGGTCAGATAAATCTGTTCAATATTATCTTCATGTTATTGATCACAGTAAATTAGCACATTATTATGAAAAAGTACATCAACTTCATACAAAAGGATCAAAGACAAAGTAAGCATCGAAAGAATGTTTCCTGTTTTCACATATTCAATGATATAATAACAAACTAGAAGAACATGGAAGAGTTTGACTAAAATTGGATCGAGTATATACAAGGTCATCTATTCGATAGTGACCGAATATCAATTTTTTCCGTCGAACACTAACGCATTTTATAAGCGATAATTTCATCAATTCTTTGTTCATATTGACATAGCTTACAGAATATGATTGATCGCATAAATAACTCTGATAGCGTCATCTGTGCTGTGAAAAACACG